AGCTGTTGCAATTTTGCATCATTACTTTTCTGGCATTACATGAATGAACAGGGATAAACATCGTCTCTTCATAATTGCTTATTCCTACAGTTTTCTTAGCGTCGCAGATATTGAGATAATGAAACAATGTAATTTTGAAAGGAAAGATTTGCGCTTTTTAATGTTAGTATCACAGAACATAAAATTTACAAATTGTAAAATATTACCGAGAAAATATTCTGAATATTAAAATCTGGTACAAGAAAATATTGTGTTGTTGGAAAAGGAAAGATTTCTGATTAAATATTTTGAAAATGAAATTTTGGCTTCATCATGATTTTCAGTGATTTGTTTTATTCAATTCCTACTATTGGTTCATATACTCTCCCTATATAAATATAAAAATATAAATGTGTGTGTGTGTGTGTGTGTGTGTGTGTGTGTGTGTGTGTGTGTGTGTGTGTGTGTGTGTGGTGTGTGTGTGTGTGTGTGTGTGGTGTGTGTGTGTGTGTGTGTGTGTGTGTGGTGTGTGTGTGTGTGTGTGTGTGTGTGTGTGTGTGTGTGTGTGTGTGTGTGTGTGTGTGTGTGTGTGTGTGTGTGTGTGTGTGTGTGTGTGTGTGTGTGTGTGTGTGTGTGTGTTCAAATTTTCAATCGTTAATAAAATACTTCTTATTCATCCACTCAAGTTGAAACCATTTTTTAAACATGCAGTGGATGACACTTGATGTTAATACAGTTCTTTCAAATATTAATTCATTAGCTTTTTAATTAATTAATAAACAGTAACAAACAAAAATAATAGTCCAACATCATACATAAAAAGGAAAATCGCTTGTTGTCTCCCTGTAACGCAATGGATAGCGCGTTGGGCTTCTAATCCAAAGTCGTAGGTAAGAATCCTATCTGGGATGGCCTAGTTGCAGAGAATGTGATTTCTTTTTACTAAACAATTTTATCGGAGAAATTAAATTTAATTAATGAAAAATAGTAACAAAGAAAAATAATAGTCCAACACCATATATAGCCGCTTATCTGGTTATAGTGGTTAGTAACGCTGACTGCGGTGCCGTAGGGCCTGCGTTCGGATACCGAAGGCATGGATGATTGTATTTTAATCCTTCATGACTTTAAATTCCTTCTTGCTTTGTGATGTGTGCTTCATGCTTACTTCTGTAAGCCCCCGTGTGTTTCTTTTTTTGTGCATGGCGATTTATAAATGCTCTCAATAAAAAAGTCCCATTTATAGAAAAAAAATCGCTTTCTATTTTGCCACTTAATCTTGTGATATGCATGTATAATAATTGTATATGCATGTAATTTAATATGTATATACATATTTATATTAAGTGAATTTATTTAATAAAAAGAGACGGAAATAAAAAAATTTCTTTATTGACCTAAGTAAGAGATTTAAAACAATTTTATATTATTTGTTTTTCTAGTTATAACAGTTTACTCTTGTAGCCATTGAAAGAACTAAAATGTGTTTGTATTAAGTTTCTTTTTAATATAGTTTAAATTTATACTTATTTGTTCAAAGACAAGAGCAAAATAGTTAAAATGGGATGAAATAGCCATATATCATGTGTTTTCCAACATCGTACCAACTACCCAGAATTCAAAATCGATAGATTGCTAACAATCCATTGAAATATTGCAGTTAAATGCTAATTGAATTAAATCAAATTGGGCTTACATATTAATCGAATTTAATGTGCAGACAGTGAACTAGGATAATGAGAGGTCTGGCATGTTATCGATGATATAATGAGTCAATCGCCTTTTAGCTATCTCTCGGAAAACTGTAATTACTGAAATGCCCTTTATTTTTATAACTTTATTAGCAACTTTCAATAATAAATCTCATTTTCAGCTATAAAATAATTTTTACAAATACATAGGCTTCCTTATTCTGAAGCAATGGGTAGCCAATAACAATAAAAAAACATTTCCTTCAGAAAGCATATCTTTCTTAAAAGTCTTGATCAATCTACGAATAAATCATTTTAAATTATTAAAATTTTGAAAAAATATGTCTCAAAATATTAACTCTATTAATGTATGCTGAATTGTAGTACATCGAAGTAATGTAAAAAATGAAACTGCAAATCATTTCTCCCCAAGTGTGAAAATGAAATTGAAACACAAATTGGAAAAGCTTTAACACAACAAATTGTTCTAGACAGTTTTTACAGACAGTTAACATTAAATTATATGTTACTAACCAATATATTTAACACTTTTTTTGAAAATATAAAGATCTTTCTTTTCCTTTCTAATATCGTTTAAAAAATCTTAGTAACCCTCTGTTGTTTTTGTAGAATTACGCAGTAAAATAAAACAATATTAAAAATTTTAAAAGTAAAGTCTAAGACGGAAATATGAAGCTTTATAACTTTTCTCTTTAATCCGTAGACAATACAATTTCATTACCTCTATTAGTTAAAAATTGTAACAAAATACTTAATCACATTCGATTTACATTTCTGCTTATTACAAGTATCAAATTACTTTCGAATTATTGTAGTGGAAATTTAGTCAGCAATCAAAAATGGAAACACACATCTGGATACTATTCCACACATAAGAAAGTAGAAAAACATAAAAAGCTTATACCTTTCCGTTTTAAATTATATATAGGAAAAGATTTTCTGGATTTTAAAAATTTAATGAAATTAACCAGATATTTTCTTAAGAATTCTGAAATGTGTTTTGTAAATATTTTTGTAATAAAATATAGATACTTTCTATAACTATTTTTAGAATAGAAATTAAAATTTTACTTGATATTTTTCTTTTTTATCCAAAAACACACACAGTTTTCCTTTTCACTTTCACCAAATTATCAACTTTTTCAAAGATGAATTTATTTATGTTTAAAATAGAATGCATTCGGGAATATCTTTAGTAAATAAAAGCATTTCCTTCACACCACAAATATGGAACTTTTATTGAGGTTCAAAAACTATATATTGAATTTCAAATGAAAAGAAAATACGCTAGTTCTATTTCTGATCATTTGAAAAATAAACGCTTTTATTGCGTCTGATATTTGGATTTTTATTTATTAATACAAAACACGCTTTCCGTCACCAACAAAAACTAAATATTCCTAGAAATGTAAAACTAAAAAGAATTTGGCATTTACTTTCCAGTTTTTAAACAATTCAACGAGTATTACTGATTTTGTTTTAGGTGTTTAGACAACTATAACTGACCAGTCCGAAGTGGAATATATATTTTCCATATTTTATATAAATTCATCTCGTCAAGAATAGAACATTTGAAGAAAGATATAAAACATTGGTGCATAATTCTTATAAAATGCTTTCCTATAAAACCAAATAAATATTTAAGCTTTTTCTCAAGAATTTATTTCTACCAGAAGATTTATACCAGAAAAAAACAAAGATAATTAGAATTTTTTTTTTTTTTTTGGCATTTCAGTACCCCATTGTTAACTTGCGAGTTCTTTTAGAAGTTGAATTATCTGTATGGTGTTCAAATGGAAAAAATAAGTACTGAAACATTTAGTCTTATACATTTGTTTTCCATGGTACTACGGGGCACAAAACAAAAATATATTTACAAGATAAAAACATTGGTTAAAAACACGACTTCATTCTCCGTTCTCTCTTTTGTCCTCTCTCGTGTTTTATTCTCGTATCTGACCTTCTTCCCCTAGTCAAATGTCGGCTTACCAAATCCTCCCATATATGCTTCACCCTTTGCCAGACCCTTCCATATATGCTTGATCCTTTGCCAGATCTTCCCATATATACTTGACCCTTTGCCAGATCCTCCGATATATGCTTGACCCTTTGCCAGATCCTCCCATATATGCTCAATCCGTTTCCATATCCCCAGGTCGGTCGCACATCTATTGCCAGGTGTGAGCGCTTGAGTGGTTAATAATATGTTATGAAGTAAATGGTGATAAGTAGGAAATATTTCCTATATTTTCCCAATATTTATTATAATAAAATGATATTTCTTGTTTTCTCGATCATAAATTGCAAGCAACTACCATTTGAAGTCGCTCCCTCACCATCCTGCCTACCTAAGGGTGTGGGGGAAAACAAAACATGACCAGAAACTTCCATAATAATTATTATTTTATTACTATTCAAGCACACTAATCAACCACAAGTTAAGCTACAAGTGGAGACCCTAGGAGTGATATAAAGAAAGCAACCAACTCTAAGTGAACAAGCTCAAGTAATCAGTTTAATTTAACCTGATCTATCTTAGACTATTAATTCCCAATCCATTAATTTAGTATAGAGGCAAACTCCGTTCTTAACTTAAGTTGAGAAAATCCATTATATCTAACCTTCGTAAGTCCACAACAGTTTCTCCGTCCTTTTATCTTACAATTACAAAATCTTGACTTTATATAGTCAAACTAATCTCCATATCAGGGTTTCTTCTTGAAAGGCATGGTTGTGAATTAACGCGAATGCTAGCCCTAAAGTTTCCCCAAAAGGATTAATGAGAAGGTCGCGTACAGATCCGTCACAAAATTAATATTTTTTTCCAATGAATTATTGAATACGCAAAATCTTAAAAAGCAAATTTATGTATGCTTTTCAGCCCCAGTTGCATCCTTGAAAAGGTTTCTCACACATTTTGTTCACCCCCCTCCACCAGATTTCAAGAGAAAATGTTCTCTTCCAGGATTCTGTAGAAGACTTAATTCTGTTTATAATAAATTATAAACCAAATTATTTATTTTTTCAAATGGAATATAATTTCCCTCACTGTTAAGCAGTTTTTTCAGCTTGAATAGTAAAAAAAATAATAAAAGTAATTATAATCCTATAATAAACACGTACACAAAAAAAATATTATTGTATCGTATATTTTTTACAAATAAAAAAAAATTCTTACTTTAATTTAAAATTAACATGTGGAATAAAGAAAAGATAAAAAAATTGTAAAAAAAATTAGAAATTACCTTTACAAAGGAAAATTATTCAGGAATTCAATCAAAGCAACTACAGTAATTTTTAATAAAGTGATTTCAAAGTATAAAAATGCACACATTTCAATTATTCAATTGTATTCTTATTCTGATAAAAAAAAACTAGCGTTACTAAGAAGTCTTTTTTAACAGATTATATTGATTCACAATGCATGAATGTCACACTTCATTAAAAATCCAATTAAATTTTAAAGTATTCATTTAACACGACTCGGAAATTCGGAAAAGGAGACTTTGTCATTGCCTTACCCTGGTTCTGGAAATTATTGATTTTTCAACTTAAACTTTAATTTCAACTTCATGTTCAAGTAATTAAACTTTAAGTAATTGAACTTTGAAACTTTAATTAATTAAACAATAACCATACTCTAGTGCATTAACTCCTAAATTTGTGAGGAACAAATTTTTGGTGAAAATTACAGTAGTGAATAAGAAATTATAATTGATTGAATGAATATTTATCAAAACCGGGTAAAAGCATGGATGATTAGCATTGAATCTCCTAATTTTGAACCACAAACATAACATGGGATGAGGACGACACCTGAACCCTCACTCCTTTCTTCTAACTCACACACCTTGAAAAATGTGCTGTAAAGACATCTGAACCTTATATATATATTAGTATTTTTTTAAATATTCCTATATTTATTCAGTTTACTTAACGATTTCAGAAAAAAGTTACAAATAAATACATTTAGACCGAATATAATGTAATTCCTCTCAGGAATCAGAACTAGAACTACACAGATCATGAAATTTGTAACTTTTTTGTTGAGTTGCAAGTACTGTAGTTCAGTAGGTAAGCCCTTGGATTTATAAGGATTGAGGTGAAAACATTGATCACCATCTTCTTCAAGTAACTGTGTTTCAAAGTTACAAGATTCGTTGCTGATAGCCCATTTCTCAGCACAAGAGAAATTTTTA